TCATTTTTATAAAATTTGAGTTCCCTCCCTCTCTTATAAGATTTTCTCCTTCTCTCCTCCCCAAGACAGCAAGCAATCTGATATAGGTTATACATGTGTAATCATGTAAAACATTTCCACATTAGTCATGTTGTGAAAGAAGAAATAGAACAAAAGGGGGAAAAAAACACAAAAAAAAACCCCCAAAGAAAGTGGAAATAGTATGTTGCGATCTGCATTCAGACTTCATCAGTTCTTTCTCTGGATGTGGATGGCATTTTCCATCATTAGTCTTTTGAAATTGTCTTGGATCATTGTATTGCTGAGAAGAGCTAAGTCTATCATAGTTGATCATCATACAATGTTACTGTTACTGTGTTCACTGTTGTCCTGGTTCTGCTCACTTCACTCAACTCATGTAATTCTTTCCAGGTTTTTTTTTTCTGAAATCTGATTGTTCATCATTTCTTATAGCACAATAGTATTCCATTACATTCATATACCACGACTTGCTCAGCCATTCCCCAATTGATGGGCATCCCCTCAATTTCCAATTCTTTGCCATCACAAAAAGAGCTGCTATAAATATTTTGGTACATGTGGGTCCTTTTCCCATTTTCATGATCTCTTTGGGATACAGCCCTAGAAGTGGTATTGCTGCATCAAAGGGTATGCACAGTTTGATTGTCCTTTGGACATAGTTCCAAATTGCTCTCCAGAATAGTTGCATCAGTTCACAAATACCAACAATACATTAGCGTCCCAATTTTCCCATATCTTCTCCAACATATAATAATATATATATTAATGCATAAAATCCTTAAGCTACATGTTTCAGTTGCCTTTCTGAAACAGGAATTCCTCTGCTCAAAATTCTTTAGTTGTTCTTTCTTGGTTATCAAGGAAAGCTTAAACTCCTTTGCCTGCTATTCAGCCTTCCACAATCTGTGCAGCCTCTTTTCTTCAACTATTACCACCAAATGCTTTGTAGTCCACCAAACTAAATTTTCCTCTGAACGTATCTTGTGCTTTTTTCTGTCTCTCTTCTTTGTTCACACTAATCCCTGATCCTGAGATGCTCTCCCCTCTTTATTAATCATTTCACTCTTTATTATTCTATTTATATTTTAAAGCCCAAATCAAATATCATCTCACTTAGATGATCTGCTTGACCTAATATACCATTTTATGTTCCTCTTTAATAAACTCATCACGTGTTATTTTGTATAGTTATCTGTGTCATATCCTCTAGGTGCTGTAGTGGATAGACCTTTGGGCCTGAAGTCAGAAGGGACCTCAGTTCAAATCCAGCCTCAGACACTTACTAGCTGTGTGACCTTGGGCAAGTCACTTAACCATGCTTGCTCATCTGTAAACTGAGCTGGAGAAGGAAATGGCAAACCAGTATTTTTACCAAGAAAACCCAAAATGGTGTCACAGAGTAGAAAAGGACTGAGCAACTATATCATATTCCCCTAATACTAGACTGTAAGCTTCATGAGAACAAAGACCTTGTCTTCTCCAACGTTTTTAACCTCTCCAGATGATAGCATGCTAGTATCCACACAGTAGATCTTAGTAAATATTTGTTAAATTGAGCTATTCCACATTGCTCCATAGAGTAGAAATAGAAGTGATAGATAGACATTACAGAGAGGCTGATGTTGATTAAATATAAGGATAGCAATTATAACAATTAGAGCATCCAGCAATGTAATGGTTGCTTTTTCAAGTGATGAGTTCTGTGCTACAGGAAATTTTAAAACAAAAGTTAAATGACTGTTCAGGATGTTGTAGAAAGGATTCCTTCATTGGGTAGGGAGGAGATTCAATGAGATGATCTCTAAAGCTTGTTCTCACTTTAAAAGTCTATACTTATGCTATCTTCTCTCTTCCCTTCACCAGTAGGCATTACTACCCTTTGTTCTCCTGGTGAAAAATTGACAAAAAAGAATGAAAAAAAAGTCCTAACAGATCCATTCCATTGCATACCAATTGGGAAACAATTTGATGGCCAGATTTAATTTAGAAAACTGGTTTCTGACCTAGTATTATCATCAAGGGGAAGAAAAACGTGAAATCCAAAAGAATTAAAAGGACTTTGAAGAGACAAATTAAAATAATAAAATAAAGCATATGTCTTTCTACTCAAGTACATACAGGTTTGTTTCCAAATATTGACCTCAGCTGTCTGTAATCATTGTGGTCACCTTGAATAATCAAGGACTTCAACATAAAATTGGTTTGTTCTTAGACTACTTAAGAGAAATGATGAAACAACATAAACACTGCAAAAATATAAATGCTGCCCCACTTTAGACGTCTTATATCTAGTTCCGCAGAATAGAAGCATGTAATAATAAAATGTTAGAGTTGGAAAGGATCTTAGAAATCATCTACTTCAGTCTCCTCAGTTTCAGGTGAGAAACTGAAGCCCAGAGAGTTGAGTGACTTGTGCAGGGTGACCTAGCTTAGTCACAGATCCATTACACAGAAGCATTGTCTCTTGGACAGGATTCTTTCCGTGTAGTTGAGAAAGACTTCCTAGAAGAGGTAGGTCTTTGCTTAGTGTTGAGAGATAGGTAGGATTTAGACAAAATAGGAAAAAGTGAAGGGTATTTTAGGCAAGTGAAATATGATAAATGACACAGACATGGAAATGAGCATGTTCTGGGACAATGGGACCTGACAGAACAAACAGAATATAGTGAAGAGTAACAGGAAATAAGGTGTGATAGTTAGGTCAAGATAAGATTACAGAGGGCCTTGAAATCCAGACAAAGGAATTTAGACTTGATGTGGTAAGAAATCAGGAGTTGCTCAAGGTTGTTGGAGTTTTTTTTGGTTTTGGTTTGGTTTTGATCAGCAGAATGCATAACCAAAATGGTATTTAATAATACCTAGCACTTACATAGTGTTTTATGATTTGCAAAGTACTGTAAGGAAAAAGCAGCTAGGCAGTATATAAATCTGACCTTAGATACTATATGTCTGACCGTGTAACTCTGTCAAGTCACTTAAATGCTCTCTGACTCAGTTTCCTCATCTGTAAAATAAGGATAATATAGCACTCATTTCCCAGGGTTCCTGTGGAGACAAAAGGAGGTCATATATTGTAAAGCACTTTCAAGCCTTAAGCACTTTATAAATCCAGTTTTCTATTATTATAAGGAAGATTAAACTAACAATTGTTTCCAGGATGGACTTGAAGGAGGTTGGACAGATGTTAATTGCAGTTATGCAGGTCTGAATGCCTGGGGCACAGAGCTGCCAGAAGGAAGGGAGAGGAAAGGACACAGCTGAGTTATTTTGAAGAAAGAATCTGTAGGACTCAGTAAGAGAATGTACAAGGGGAAGAAGAAAACAAGAGGTCTATTAAAGATGACTCCAAGATTTCAGTCCTGTAAAACTCAGATATTCCACTGTGGTCTGGCTTCTAATATGTGTGTATCTAATCACAAGGAAAATATCTTTGTTCAACGAAGAGAGTGTGGATGGTGAAACATGAATCCTTCACCACTGCTAGAAAAGGTAAGTAGCCTCATCTTCCTATATGAAAGGCAGTGCTATGACTAGAATTTTTAAGCTTATGATTCTGATTAAATCAAAAGACTTTGCATGTGTGCTGGTTTTGTCCTCCTCTATTCATGAATCTGAATAAACAAATTCAATTCAACCAATGTTTGTGTCTACTATTGTATGCAAAGCTCCACAATACATAGACAAATATGAGACAGCATGCAAGTAAATATAAACAAAGCATAGATAAAATATTTACAAAACCTAGAGAGTGTCAATATCTGAGGGGATCAGGAAAGGATTTTATTGGATGGAGGTAGGAAGGGAGTGCATTCCTGATAATGAGAATATTCCTTGTGCAAAGGTAGGGGAAGGAAGTGGGTTGTTGTGAGTGGGGAAGAGTTAGCAGGCCAGTTTCACTGGAACTGGGAGTGTACAAGGAGCAGATACAGAGTCTTCATGCTGCTTCCAAAGGCAGTCTACTCAGTGAACCTTCTTGACAATCCCCCCTGGGTGTAACAGGATCAGCTTCTCAAAATTAACATGAAAAGTTAAAACTTAATAATGGAATACGTTTAGGACAGTCTTGTTAGACTATATCATTTTAAGCTTTCATATCCTAGTAGAGTATATAACCCATAAAAGGCTTTCTCCTTTCATATTTAATAAGGTACTTTGGAAGTCAAACTATTTGCCATGGGTAAGGCATAAAGAGAATCCCTTCCATCAGATGTGCCACTTCCTGGTTGCCTGTCTTCCCCTTCTATAATGCCTCAGAACAAGGGCATTTCTTGAAGCCACTTAAAGTCTTTGGACGTTCAGGCCTCGGTTGGTTTTACTGTCTTTAGGCCACACCCCTCTAATGAGGGGCTCCGTTGGGTTGGCAGGCTAGACCAGCAAACTTATAATAGGTGTACTGCCAGAGGAGGGGAATAGGGTTACTGAGAGGTGCATGAAGGAATGTGTTCTTATTGATGTGGGCACCTGGCCCAATTTCTGAGGAGGGAGCATGAGGGCACAGCAGTGTCCTTCTCTAGCCAAGAGGAAAGAAAGATTCAGGCTTGTGATGATCTGGACCAGGAGGCAAGAAAACCTGGGGAATTAACCTCACTGCTTTAGCGATCACTCTCTGAGTCCAACAAACCAGCAGTCTTAGCCCTCTCTTTACACCCTTACTATCCCTCATGTTTCTTCCAAGGAAACCTGACAGAGCTGAGGGGCAATCCTTCTGAATCTTCAGCAGCAAGGAGTGGTGGGAGGAAAGTTTGGGGTACAGCAGGGCAATGAAGTTTCTCATTTTCTTTCCCCATCACTTCTTCCCCGTCCCCATTTAGAAACCATAATCTATAGGGCCGAGCTTCTTAGTTTCCCCTCTTCGCAGAAGGAAAGAAGAGGAGGGGGAAGGAGGGGAGGGGACAGGAACAACGGGTGGTGAAAAACAGGACTGGGTTGGGGGTGTAGGGAAAGCCAGGGCTGGGGCAGGATGCGGTGAAACAAAATACCTGGATTCCTTGCAGTGAGCCGGTAGCTTCCCCTCTGGAGCTAGCTTTGGACTGTGCGCTCAAGCTACGGGGCACCCTTGGACCCTCTCTACTCGCGCACGCCCTGGGGCTGCTGGAGGAGGGGACCCTGGAAGGAGGCGGAGTCCGGGGAGGGGTAAGTGTGGGGAGCAACAGAAGGAAGAGGTCCTAGGCAGGGAAGTGCATGAGGGAAGCGCTGCGCAGCCAGAGGCATGGCGAGTACCGCCTCGGAGATCATCGCCTTCCTGCTAGCTCTCTCGGGTTGGGTACTGGTCTCCTCCACGCTGCCCACCGACTACTGGAAAGTGTCCACCATCGATGGCACGGTCATCACCACCGCCACCTATTGGGCCAACCTGTGGAAGACATGTGTTACCGACTCCACGGGTGTCTCTAACTGCAAGGACTTCCCCTCCATGCTGGCTCTGGACGGTCTGCATCTATCCTCATTTCCCCTGTGACCTCTCCCCCAGACCTGTCTCCCCCATATCCCTTTCTCATGCTTTTCCTCCCTCTCCTTCACTACACTCGGTGAGCGCCGTCCGACTTTTTAGCTGGGCGTGCGTTAAAGTTGGTGTGCGTAGCTAAAAGTAGCCCAAGGGCTCAGGGGGCCACACCAAAGCTGGTGGAGGAGACCCAGTTGCTGCCCCCTCCCGTACCTCGTACTTTAGCGGGCGGTTGGCCGGATACGTTTCGGGAAGCAAGAATGTGGGAACTGCATCGGGGTAGGGAAGGAGGTGAAGGACGCACAGAGGAGAGCTTTGAGTTTGATTTTGTTTTTTTCACTCTTTTTGGAATCTAAGGAATTGGGTTGTTCTAAAGCAAGGGTTCTTAACCTGGGGTCCGTGGTTAGATTTTGGGGAATCCGTGAACTTGGATGGGGAAAAAGACTCACATCTTTATTTTCATTAACTTCTAACCGAAATGTATTTCCTTCAACTATTTAAAAACATTATTCTAAGAAGGGATCCATAGGCTATTCCCGACTGCGTGGTCCATGATTTAAAAGTTAAGAACCTCTGATCTCGAGAGAGATTGAGAAGGTGGGTGAGTGAGCTTAGAGTGTCTCTGGTTTGGCCACCAGGTGTGCGGCCACCAGGTATGAGCCAGCTAGGGTGAAGGAAAGTAGCAGGTGCACAACTCGGGCCGCCCCTTCTAGCTCAGGGAGCGCTCGGGATTGCTACCACCACTGAGCGGCCGCCGAGACAGCCCGGCAGTCTGTCTTGCGCTTGTGGTCGGCGGGGCCTTCGCGTACACAGGAGAAAAGAGGGTGTTAGGGGGAAGGGATTTGGCAACCTGCGTGGTTCTTGTTGCTGCACTCTCGTTTATACCTTTATTATAGAGGGGCACTACCAATATACAGCTTATTGTACAGTTAGTAAGTAACTACACATTCAGCAGCCACTGTGTTTAAAACTCAGTTTGGTTTCTTTTCTTTTTCTTTTCTTTTTCTTTTTTTGTGGAGAGAACTTGGCATAATAGGTGAAAGTTAGAATTTAGCTTTCGAAAAACCTATGTTCAAATCCCACCTCAATTAGTGTGTGACCCTGGACGGCCATTTAGCTTCTAAGTACCTCAAGCAGCTATCTCCGTAGGATTTATTGACAAGGACATAAACACGTTATGACGGCATTGAAGGAAGAAAGTTCTTACTACTGTTGAAATCACAGCTTTATTTCTGAAATGAGCAAATTGATTAAAAGCAAAAATCATTTGCTCTTGTACTTCAGTCAAATCTTTAAAAATCACACATTAGAAAGATCAAAGAGGTGTGCTTCTTTAAAATGATAAAAGCTGGATTTAAATGTTTTTCTAAGTTTTAAGAACAAGTATTCGAGTGATTAGTTATTATTATACTGCTCCTAAAACCTCAGTTACAGCAAGAAGTTTGGCATAAAAAGAATACTTCCCGCTTCCCACTATCCCCTTCTCCACCCCCTTACCTTCCCTAGCTCTTACTTTTGTTAGTATGTTAGCTTTTTCCCGGTGGGATGATCTTTCCTCTGTGTGGGTTTGTTTTTCTTTTATTTGAAATAGATGTTCTTTGGTTTTCCTTACAAACGCAGTTATAAATAAGACTAGATTTTTCCCCCCCTTGCTTATAGCAACTCGGAAAGTCTGAAACAGTTAGATAGTCGCACATAATACCAGCTTTGTTTAACCTTGAGAACAAAAGACTTTTGAAGTAGAAATTGGGATTCTGATATACAGAGGAAAGCGTAAGGGTTGGACTGCTAGCTGCTGCAACCTAAGAGGAACAATTACACAATTTTTAGTTTTAAGGTGTTTTCTTTTTTTCTCATTGCATTATTTAAAGTTTTTATTTACATAGCTAGGTAAATAATAGAGACAAGATTTTGATGCCTGTAAGGTTGCATTTGTTTTCGTGTATGTAATTGTGTGCCTTGAAAAGCAAACTCTTGCTCAATATAATATTTGATGGGGACACACTGAAAAGGAAATATAGTCACTGTTTTGAAAGAGACAAAGACTTGAGTAGTACCTTCACATATGAATGATCTGGGCCATATTTACTCCCTAGAACTACTGTTATCCAAAACACAAATCCAGGCAGATGATGTGAACAGATAGGCTCTTGTTTCTGTGGTTTACCATTCAGGAATATGGGATTTACAGTAACTGTCTTCAGAGCATTCTTCTGTTATAATTGTATTGTGAGGTGAGTTGGCATGCCAGCTGCATGAACTTCCTTTTACAGAGGTGGGGATAGGAGAGGGAAATAACAGCCTCAAGAGAGTTTTTGATAAGATGCTGAAATGCTCACCTTCTCAGTGGGGGATAGTGATGGAATGGGTGGGTGGATGGGTGAGGAACAAAGTTTAAATGCTAGGGGTGAATGGTGGAATGAGAGAAGGGTCAATGACATCTATATTTAAACCACTTTCTTTTTCTACTTTGAAGTCACCAAAGAATGAAAAATTGAAGGGGAGAGGGAGGAAATAAAGGCTTGAAGCTAACAATCTTCAGTCCAAGGAACATTTGTAAAGTGGCTCTTATGTGTAAGGCTAGAAACATCCTGGTGTAGTAAATAAATCCTCTCTCTCTCTCTCTCTCTCTCTCTCTCTCTCTCTCTCTCTCTCTCTCTCTCTCTCTCTGTCTCTGTCTCTCTCTCTGTCTCTCTCTCTATCTCTCTCAGTCTCTGTGTGTGTGTGTGTGTGTGTGTGTGTGTGTGTGTGTGTGTAGGGAGTGGCACCCTGGATTCAATTCCCAGCTCCCACACATCTTGGAGGAAGTATTTCCGAGCGAGTCACGTACCTTCTTAGCATCCTGGGCAACTCTAAATTGCAGAGTTTACTGGGAGCTTGCTCTCTACACTGATTAAATACAGGTGTGCGCTCTCTCTCTCTCTCTCTCTCTCTCTCTCTCTCTCTCTCTCTCTCTCTCTCTCTCTCTCTCTCTCTCTCTCTCTCTCTCTCTCTGTCTCTGTCTCTCTCTCTGTCTCTCTCTCTATCTCTCTCAGTCTCTGTGTGTGTGTGTGTGTGTGTGTGTGTGTGTGTGTGTGTGTGTGTGTGTGTGTGTAGGGAGTGGCACCCTGGATTCAATTCCCAGCTCCCACACATCTTGGAGGAAGTATTTCCGAGCGAGTCACGTACCTTCTTAGCATCCTGGGCAACTCTAAATTGCAGAGTTTACTGGGAGCTTGCTCTCTACACTGATTAAATACAGGTGTGCGCTCTCTCTCTCTCTCTCTCTCTTCTCTCCTCTCTCTCTCTCTCTCTCTCTCTCTCTCTCTCTCTCTCTCTCTCTCTCTCTCGTGTGTGTGCGCGCGCGCGCACACACACACACACACACACACACACACACACACACACACACACACACATGTATTAGATACTCACAGGTACAGGGATGCAAAACAAGCAAAAAAAAATATCCAAAACAAAACCAGTCCCTGTTGTCAAAGAGCTTACATTCCATAAGAGGTGGGTTGCATGATAATCTATAAACACAGAGAAAAACAAGATAATTGAGAAAGGAGAGAATGCTGCCAACTGGAAGCATCAAGGAAGGCTTCACTGAGGTGTACCAGAGGCTTGAAGGAAAATAATGATTTTTAAAGATTGAGTTGAAGAAGGAGTGCATTCCAGGTTTGTGTGAACCTATGGAAGCAAGAGATAGGATCTCAAGTTTGGGGGACATCTATCTAGTGATCTGGCTTAACCAGAACATAAAGAATGATAGAAGATTTGGTTGGAAAGGCAGCTTGGAGCCAAATTGTGTAGGAACTTAAATGCCAAGCTGAGAAATTTGTATTTTATCCTAGGGTCAACAGGCAGCCACTGATGATTTTTGCACATGGTCTTTTCTGTGCTTTAGGAAGATCATTTTGTTAGTACTGTGGAGAATGGATTGGAGAGGGGAGATATTTATTGTAAATAGAGAGACCAATTAGAAGACTGTTACAGCCATCTAGGCAAGAGATGATAACAGCCTGAGTTGGAGTGTTGGCCACATAAGTGGAGAAAAGGACAGATGTAAGATATCTTACAGATTTAAAATCACCAGGATTTGTCCATTGATTAGCTTTGGAAAGTGAGGGAGAGGGTGAATTGAAGATTGTTATGGTTGTTCAGTCCTGTCTAACTCTTCGTGACCCCATTTGGAGTTTTCTTAGTAAAGATACTGGAGTGTTTTGCCATTTCCTTCTCCAATTCATTTTACAGATGAGGAAACTGAGTTAAGTGACTTGCCCAGGGTAACACAGTAAGTGAGGCCAGGTTTGAACTCAGAAAGATGCATCTTTCTGCCTCCGAGCCCAGCTCTCTATTCATTACACCACCTAGCTGTTTCAACTGAAGATTACTCTCTATGTATAAACAGATTTTTCCCCCCACTTATGAATGAAATATCTCTGGCCAGAGCCAATCACTTTTCTAACTTCTCATCATCTAGGTCCAGAGGGTGGTATGCTGAAGGGTATGTTATTTATACAGCAGCATCTGATAAATTAATGCATTTGAGGTGGTGTAAATATGTTTCTTTTATTTTTGTTTGTTTGTTTTGGCAAGGCAGTTGGGGTTAAGTGACATGTGCAG